TAAGACATTATGATTGAGATGAGATCCAAATTTACGTTTCGTGTTTTCTATCATTATATAAAAAGAATAACTTTTTTACAAATTTAGAAACTTTTTCCCGCCAAAATCATTAACTATATCCTATATATAGTAATCGTTGGACAAATTTGAATAGGCAAAAAAATCGACTCATTAATTGTGTAAAGATTTGTTTCTCTTTGTCCTGGTTTTTAGTTTATCAAAACCGTTGTTTGACAGTAAATATTTGTTTTTCTTTTTGCTATTTTTAGTATAAATCTACACGAGCTTATCTCTTCTGTTACAAAATCTCATGGCATACGTCTCACGTGTTAAAAATTTCATCCCTTATCTATACATATTTAAAAAAATAAAATAAAATAGAAATCAATTCATAATTACTACTAGAAATCCATTATCTACTTTAAGAAGATGAAAGTCTTTAAAAAGAAAAAATTAAATAAAATAGAAACCAATTCATAATTACTACTAGAAATCCATTATCTACTTTAAGAAGCTAATTTCCATCGGTCTAATTACTAATATTTTTACAAATATTATAAGGTAACCATACAAAAAAGTATAATAATAATTTTGAAATGGTGTGTAATCAAATTTTTTTATATTCTCTTATACAAAATAATTTTACATTGTTTGACCCGGAATCTTTAATTTATAGTTATTAAATATTGTTTATCCTCCTCTTTAATTTGTATTTTTTTTTATTCTTCTTTTTAAATAGGATCAATAGTAGTTTCCATTTCCGCTATTGAGTGACTCAAACTCGAGGTCTATTTACAATATTGTTAATTTAATATTGTTCCCGTACATCGCACGGGATACACACTAGATGTTTCGAAAAGTGTAGCGCTTTCACGCGAAGCGCAATTAGTGGAACTTTTTTCGACTGGTAAATTTTTATCTTCACATAACTCTGCATGTCACAACTTTTTAGTCACCATTATTGTGTTCGTTCTCTCAATTAACCTTTAAAATTATGACATGTTAATTAGCTGATTACAAAAAAAATCTTGTGAGATTAAAATTCACATAAAAGTAGAAAAGGCCAAAAATCTCTAGTTTATGTGACTAAAGTTAAAAAGAAATAAAAAAATAAAAATAAATAAATAAATCTATACAAACCATCATCCAATAATTACTACAAATGACTATTCATGTTGAGTAAACAAACTCTTGATTGAATCAAACGCTTAAACAAACACTCTAATCTTTCTTCAACAACTCGAATGATTACATCGATATCTCTCAACTGCAGTTGAAGCTCGTCAACTCGCAAGCCCGTTTCGTGCTTTGATGTCCTCGAACGAACAATTTTACGCAACGCCGAATCCAAATCTCCAAACCCAAATAATGCCGTGCATTGTGATGGTGTCGGCACGAAACTCTTTTCGAGACTAAAAACCAATCCTTTAGCCTCCAACGAAACTATTTTTGAAAGGTCGAAAAATGTGCGCCTTTAATATATTTAATAGTGTATTTTTATACGGTTAATTTAATCGCACATTTATATTTTTCGACTTATTTATTATTTGGATGGATTTATTTACTTTAATTATTTTATGTTTAATTTCAGGGCATTGGAGTATTTTGTGGACGTGAAGTCATTGACGAGGGTACGCGTTAGCAATATTCGAGGTGCACAAGTATTTGAAAATTTGGGCTCAATATCGGACTTAATTAAAAGAAGCCCAATGACATGCTTGTAAATTAAGGCCCAATTCACCCATGTGTCATGGCAAATAAACTTGCAGCATACAATTTTTTTCCATGCACTGACGTCCATATACACTCATAAGAGAGATTTAATGGGCAGAATTTGATTGGCTGGTAGAGTTTGTGAGTGATTGACATATTAGTTGACACATATTTATTTGCTGGGAGTTGGAGAGTCCAAAAAGACTTGGGGACTACATACTTAATTATTTTGGCGAGAGGTAAAATTCGTGAGAGCAAGGCGTACAGAAAAAAAGAAAAAAACCGAACAAAAAAAAGGGAAAAAGACGCACGTAGAGAGAAAAAGGATCCGGAGCAAAAATCGTCATTTATTAGAAATTGCATTATTTTGGCTTCTATCTTGTATTTAGAATTAGAAATTGCACCTTAGGTTTTAGTGGATTGATTTTTTTAACACAAAAATCGTCATTTATTTGTCTGTTATTTTGTATTTTCAAAATTCTGTCACAAAGCCAATAAAGTTAATGAATCTTCCCCTGAGCATTGAGTGATTAATATCAAATTGCCTAATATTTTAATTATTAACACTTAAAATATATGAAGTTTTCATCAAATTATTAACAAAAATATACCATGCAACTTTAATTATTATTATTTCATTAGAGCAATTGATTTTCTAGAAGGGTGCTCTATAAAAGATGATAATTAAGATTTTTATATATTAAATATTTTATATAGTGATATTATTTTAAGATTCTTAAATGCTTTTATAATTTTCTCAACAAAATTTGAGAATTTATTTAACCGTAAGTATCCTATCAAATAAGATATTATTTCAACAATATTTATTTAATTTTATAATGATAACTCTAAGTAAAAAAAATTAAAATCGATATTGCATGTCCTCATAACGACACAAACTATAAAGATCTTTTTTTTTTTCATTCAAAATAACTTATAAAAAAATAATAAATTGTGTAATCGTATGAGAGATTAATTGTTGAATGCTTGATCTACTCAATTTCTTTGTTTAAAATAAGATTAGAACAATTTTACGAAATTGTATAATACTAAAACCCAATTTATTTATTATATGTCAAATGGGCCGGGATATGTTGAAAATTATCTATAAATTCATTAAAAATATCTAGAGAATCATGATATGCCAACATACGTTGAAAATTAATTAATGTTTAACAATAAATTATATCGATATTACCATTACACATTCTATTTATTAATTTTTATTATTCTAATAAAGCTATTTTTATCAAAAAAATGTACGGAATAAATTTTTTCTGAATATATTTGAGTATAATATTAATGAAAAAATTGTAATTATATATAATATAATACAAAGATTTAATAAGAAATATGACCCAAAAATTTATATAACTAATTTTATGCAATTTTTTTAATAAATCTAAAAGTTATTTTTTTATTATATAATAAAATAATAATTAAATATTATATGGTGAACAACAATAAGTAAAACTGTTACTTTATCTTATATCAAGGGATAAATTTATATGCTAAAATTAATTTTTTATTAGTATAAATGTTTTAGTGAGATAATATATTAATTATTTTACAAGCTAGCCCTAACATGCTCATATTTAATGTTTTAAAAGATGTAGAAAAAAAACTTATAATAAATATGGTAAAAATTCCTAATTTTTTAGACTTAAACGTTGATTAACACCATAGATTGAGAGTTTATATTTAGTAAAATTCTTAATTATAATAAAAAAATTAATTTTTGCTATATTTTAGAATATCTTTAAATTCATTATAAAAAAAAAAGGAAAAAAACTACAATGAAAAAGTAAGTCAGCTATATATCGATTTGTTGTACTCCTCAAATCGCATTCACAATTTAGCTACAAGGAAAGGAAACTCATTGATTAAAATATTATTTTGTCAGTAGTCTTAATGTACAAGAGACTTTAAGACTCCACTTGAATATTATAAAACTTTTATTGAACATTGTACAATTTTCTTGCGTATTATAAACTTTTATTGAATATTGCATCTTATAATATAATATTCTCCAAATAAATATATCTCGTGCTTTGCACGGGTCACGTACTATATATATTCCGTACATTTTTCTTTATTCATGTATATAATTATAACCCAAGATAAATAGTCCTGAAATTGTGCACCCCGTGCATTGCACGGACTCTGTACTAGTTGGATAATAAGTAAGTTCTATATTAAACAATTTTTTTATTAATGCTTTACTATATTTAGAATGGCACGATGGAATATTTGAACTCAAATACTCCATAATCACCCAAATACTTCATCGTACCATTTTAAATATAGTCAAGTCTTAATAAAAAAATTATTTTAAAGTAGAACTAACTTATTATCAATTTAATATATTTTTATCATATTAATACTCCTTTCACAATTTAAAACAAAAATCCATCCGAAATGCAAAAATTATACTTGCAAAAAATATTGAATCACAAAAAAAGGGACAAACAATATTTTTCATTTTTGTCTGCAATACACTTCCAATGAAGCATCTAAATCTCTATGAAGCATCGAAACAAAATTTTTGCTCCTTTCCATGAGCAAAAGTGTACTTTTCGGGGATTATCGCTTGTTGGGTTGAGTTGTAGCTGCCGGGCCTTGATGCCTTTCGATCCCTTCTCTCTTTTGTTCTTCGGTTCATTTGGGAGGCCGCTCATGTCCGATATTGGCTAGTGGTGTTAGGTGATGTCGGGATGGTGTTGGATTCGGCTACTGGTGTTAGCCGATTGGGGGTTGATTGTTGTATCTTGCGGTTGGAAAGCAGGTTGTTCTTTTGGTTTGTTTCACGGCTTGGGTATTCGTCCTTGCTAGGCTTAAAGCAGTGGCGGGCAGAGTTTCCTATGCTGTGGATCTTCCTCGAAGTTGACCTCGTCTGCTATCCGTTCTTGGTTGTCTCTGCTGAAGGAGGGCTTATTTAGTGTGCTTAGTGTTTGTTTGTTGTTTTCTGTGATTTTTGTTCGTTAGTTGGTCTGTGTGTTTGTTTGTCTTTGTTTGGATATGAATACAGGCTAGGCATTGTGCAGTGGCTCTGTTATTTATATTCCTTTATTTTCGGTTGTGGAGTTCTCTAGGCCGCCACGTGCGTGTCCTCTCAGTTTTCTATTCCTGTTCTTTTATTAGGCGTGTTTTTGGTTTGGGCCGTTGGCCCCTGTCTCATTACCCTGTTGGGGTCTTAGATTACCCCAGTGGGGTCTTGTATTTTGTTCTCTTTGCACTTTTGTGCTTTTTATAGTACATCTATCGTTTCGGAAAAAAAAAANNNAGAAAAGAAAATCTACCGTGACAAAAACTATCTCCTGTTGACCATCAACCATTGACTAACTACAACTGGCTTTGCATGTTAAGCAGTGAAACTCTTCATTTAATCAAACGTTTGAACAAACACTCCAATATTTCCTCAATCACTCTAATAACCAAATCCATCTCCCTCAACTGTTGCTGCAACTCCTCGATTTTTGAGCCTGTCTCGCATTTACTAACAAATTTACTCAATGAAGCATCTAAATCTCTAAACTCGAGCATCGAACTCTTTTGCTCATGGCAGTGGCACGAAACTTTTCTCGACCCCATAAGCTTCGAAACTAGGGACCATTTACTTAGCCTCGAACCATCTTTCGAACGAGAAATGCTCGACAAAAGTGCCTCGATCAATACCAAAGTAATCGACTCGGCCTCCTTCAACATGCCGATGATTGCAATTGTTTCATGATCTTTGTCCCCTGTTTCTAAAACAGAGGAGTTCTTTTTATAGCTCCCGATGATTTTTGTATTTGCTTCTTGATCGTCTTTCTTGAGATGATGAACTCGGAAAGATTGATGACAAGGATGAAGAAGAGGTGGGTTCTTTATCGGAGTTTAGTGTATGCAAATGCAGGTTGAATTCAGGGCTTATTGTAAGAGGGTAAGGTCTCGAGGGCATGCTATACGAACGTGTTTGGCTTAGATCTATCGACCTCATTTTGATACAAATTTGATTTTTTCACTGCGAATGAAACTTTCGGATCCTTCGTGTTTGTATAGGCAATGTACCTTTTGAAATTTGATGTTGCAATAAATTCATGATAGTGAGATCTCATCATATAAGAATAATAAACTTTGCATAGAGATTGGAACAAATAATTATATTAAGACATGTCCTCTCCACTTTTAGCAGATGCATCCTAAAAGTCAAATTTTGTCTTAATTAATGAGAATCTTTATTGCAGTTCAATTGTAATGAAACTCACCTGATGAGTTGGAATCTTGACAACTCACAAAAAATTAAGTTAAAAGTAAACAAGCTTATCCTGCAAACTATTCTTTTCCTAGCAAAAGGTGAAAAAATGTCTTGTCTTAGCTGTAGCCTAAAGAATTATTCTTTTCCTAGTTGAATGTGTGAAAAATTTTGTAGTAGTTAATTGATTAAATTAACAGTATTAACTTAATGATCAAAATTAGCTTATTTTGCAAAATGTATGGTAAATAATGAGGAAGATGAACACCGAGATAGAAAAGAAAGAAACGGCTGCTTGTATTGATTTTGGTAAAATGAAAAGTGAGTACAGAAAGTGTTATTGTCTAGTATATACACTTAGGGTTTACAGGGGTATAAATGGAAAATACATAAGAGCCTATAGTTGCTATATCAAATAGCAACTTTACAATTAATCTAAGTCCAATATTTATATATGCTAATAGTTTCATATGTAAAAACAACTAAATTTATAACTCCCTTCTATTTTTAATAGGTATCGTTTTAAGAAGTTGCACAATAATTAATGATTTTTTTTGCCAATAATAACCCTCATTAATGAGGATAGAGATGGATGTTTTGAGAAATGATGAATAGTGAATATGAAAAAACGTTGTGTATTTATTAGCTAAATGAGGATAATAATGGAAAAATATATACAAAAGATCCAAAACGTCATTTATTTAATTAATTGTTGATAAAACCAAATTGATATTTAAAAAAAAAAATAAGAGGTAGTATATTTTATTATTAAAAAACTTTAATATTGACCTTTTTTTATACAAAAAACTATTTTCAACAGCTACTTACCAAATACTTAATTTAGACGTTCTAGATCAAACCTCACAACAAACACCTAATTTAGCTTCAAATTGTTGTTTATTTACCAAATAAAGTCTATATTTCTTCATCAATTAAAATTTCACAATAAAAGCCAGTGTCTAAAAAGGCTAAGGGCATGCTTGTTTATCAATTATTTCACTCACTTTTAATTCATACTCAAAATCTAACTCAACTTTAACTCAACCCCATTATCTTTAATATTTTTCATATAATTAATAAATACAAACCAATCATTCTTAAACATCACATCAACTTTTATTCACTATTCATTCACTCACATAATTTTAACTACCTATCATTCCCAATCATTTTCAATCATTTATCTCATACTTTTACATCAAATCAATTTTAATTATTTTATTTTAAATATTATTTTGATACATTTTTAAAATCACACTAACAACTAACCATACCATATTTTTCAAAATTAACTTTAATTAACTGAAATAACTCATATTGGACGAATTATTTTGTAAACAAGCGAGCCCTAAAATTATGATTAGGAACCACGATTAAGGCTCGCTAGGCGTGAGGCGCAAAAGAAGCGAGCCACGCATGTTTTAAAATGCGTGTAAAAAAAAACAAAGGTTGTTATTAATGAGAAAAATTGACCTTCTATAGCGCACTTAATGCATTTATTTTTTAATAAAAAATAAGGCCAATTTACCGAAAAAACAAACTAGAAGTCTAGTAGCAATACAACACGTGTGCAATATACATATATTGATTAATAAATTAATATTTAAAAATAAAATATAAAAATAAAATTTAATATTAATATTTTAATATTTCTAGAAAAAACACTATAATCAGTTTGATGATATATGATTTCTAAAAAACAGATAATAAATAAAAAATTAAAGATTAAAATATATAAATTTTTGTGAAATATCCAATGTAAGGAAATAAGTTTAGATCAACTTGAAATACTCTGAAACACTGTAAATTAACGTAAGGACTACAGTTGAAAACTAAAATGACTAAACGGGTCTAATCAAAACACGTAGATCACGAGTTCTTAAATTCTGAAACATCAATTCAGAACTCGAACAATTAGACAAATTTGACATGAAACCACACTTAAATTTGAAAACTCGTACATTTATATATATAAGAGAGATTTAACGACATAATAACCCCGTTTAAACTCAAATACTCCATCAAACCATTCTAAATATAGTACAGTATTAATAAAAAGTTTCTTTTAATGTGAACTTGCTTATTATCCTCGTAATAATACTCGTTTCATCACCNTTCTGATGGGACCAAAAGTGAAAAAAAAAATCTTGTGAGACCCAAACTGCAAAAACTATCTGCCGAGACTAAAGAAAAAAAAAAAGAAAAATCTACCGTGGCAAAAACTATCTCCTATTGACCATCAACCATTGACTAGTACAACTGGCTCTGCATGTTAAGAAGTGAAACTCTGGACTTAATCAAACGTTTGAACAAACACTCCAATCTTTCTTCAATAACTGTAATAACCAACTCCATCTTCCTCAACTGTCGCTGCAAATCCTCGATTTTTGAGCCCGTCTCGCATTTACTAACAAATTTACTCAACGAAGCATCCAAATCTCCAAACTCGAGCATCGAGCTCTTGTGCTCGTGCTCGTGGCACGAAACTTTTCTCGATCCCATAATCTTCGAAACTAGGGGCCATTTACTTCCGTCTTTCGAATGAGAAATGCTCGACAAAAGTGCCTCGATCAACTCTAAAGTAATCGACTCGGCCTCCTTCAACATACTGATGATTGCAAGTGTTTCTTGATCTTTCTCCCCTGTTTTTAAGACAGAGGAGCTATTTTTATAGCTCCTGATTTTTCTCAACGATTTTTGTATTTGTTTCTTGATCGTCTTTCTTGAGGAGATGAACTCGGAAAGATCTTCTGAGCGGCGCTTTCGCCTGAGGACTGAAAGGAGGTTCGAAATGGAATCTTTGGATTGGGAGACAAAATCTTTAGCGGCGGCACAAGCGTCCACTAGGCCCAGATATCCATCCAAGATTTCGTCGACCCATTTTCCGTGGCTTTCTCGGGTGAAAATTTGGTGGGTATGTGGGAGAATAAGTAAGTTGTCGATCAAATCGTGGATTTGTTCGAGATTGTTCATTTTTTCGGCGATTGAGGATAGAGATGAAGAAGAGGTGGTGGGGAGATTATCGGATTTTATTTTTTGCAAATGGAGTTCGAATTCGGGGATTAGAGCGTAATAAGGTCTCGAAGGCATGCTAGAAGAACGCATATGACTGAGGATTATCGACTTCATCGTGATTTGTTAGCTAGGATTTTAGTTACTTTTTCTTTTCGTGATGATGTGAAGTGTACTTTTGGGAGTGATGGGCTTTTATATACGATGAAGATGAAGGGAGAGGTAGCTAACATTTAATGCTTTTTAGATTCTGATAAATTCATGGTCAGATCTAAGTACATTAAAAAAAAAATGAATTGTGTTTAAAGGTGGTCAATAATCATTAATGCATGTTATCTCAACTTTTGAGTAATAAATGAACTGTAATTATGATGCTACGAAGGTGGTCACGGGTGTTTTGAGATCTGCATCATTTCCCTCACGTTTGGATCAAATGCAAAAAAAAAATGTGAAATTAGTTTTTCTTAGCATAACTGCACATGCTAAGATGGTGTTTCCAAAAAGGCATCCACCATTATTATTTATTACACCATTAATTAATATTACTCCCCCAAAAAAGTTTACTGCCTAATAACCTCCACCGTCATTTTGAAAGTTCTCTCAACTTTCGGACACCATTATTAATATGTCACAGGCTCAACTTCTGGAATATTAATACCAACACAAAAAGGTATAATTTGTCTTTGTTAGCTATTACATTGAAGTGAACTAGTTCGGGTTGGCGATAATTTTGAGGGAAAATGATTATTTTAGTCATCAAATTCGAATCATTTGGAAACTCAGACTCCTAAGCAGCTAGATTTGAATTCGAGAAATATTTTGTTTAAGTAACATGAAAACACTATGTCACAAAAATTATTTCTATCTTTTCATTACAAAGACTTAAAACTTTTAGGTGAATGGATCAAACAGAAAAGGCAAATATTGTCTTTATTAGCAGTATGATTTTGCATAACTACTTTTTGTCACCATAATTGTAACATGTTCCCTCAATTTCTGCTTCATGAATGCTAACACAAAAGGCAAAATTTGTACTTTGATTTTTTACCTGATGAGTTGGAGTAATGACCAGTGTTCTACCTACAAAAATGACCAGGATCGATCCCACAGGGAGTGTGGTATAAACCGTAATTAATTTGTATTAATTAGATTTAAGCAAAAATGGGGGGTTTGATTAGAAAAGAAACTACTAACAAAAGGAGAAATTAAACTAGAAACTAGAAATAAATGACTAAAATGCAAATGGTGATGAAATGGAGAATAAATAAAAATAATCTAGCAAAGATGAGAATAGAATCGGTTCCAAGTTGGTCTACACCCTCGAATAACTAGCCCAATTAATGCATTTATCAAATTTCACTCATCTTCTAAAACTACCGGTCCTAGATAGCAATAAGCTCTGCTACCAGAATTTTCCCTAAATTTATACTTAATCGAAATAGGCTCTTCAATTAATTCTAACTAGCGAATAACTCGGAATAAGCTCTCCTAATTTAATCCACTAGTCGCATTAAAATCTAGGAAAATAGACCAATCTACGCCACAAACACATAAGCTCGGTTCATGTAACTTATGTTGTGTTATCCCTAACAATGCACGACTGTTAGTTCCTACAATTGAATTAAGAACTACGACAATTACGGATCGAAGCCTCAACTCTAGCAATTAACATGCAAATCCTAACTTGGGTGATCAAGCTAAATTAAAAATCACACATTATGACATGAAAATAGAATAACACAATCAATTTTACACGACGAGTAAAACGAAATAAATAGCATTAATCAAACATAGTCATCGAGGGTTCAACGTCCCTAGAACCGAATAAATGTTTTTCTACTCATAGCTAAATGATAAAAATAAAAATAAAAATTCATGTTCTTCAATCAAAATAAAAAAAAGCAAATAAAATAAAATAGCAAACTCCTTTATGATCAAAGTAGTCCACGACTTCGTCCTTCTCCCAGCACTTCTCCCTTCGTCTTTTTTTCCCGTTAGTCCTAGATTAAAATTATTTCTTTTCTAATGCCCAATTGAGAATCCAACTCCCACCAAACTCTCCAACATCAAAAATAAGAATCCCCACAAAATAAAACTTCAATCCTCCAGCAGCCCTTTCGCATTAGTCCAATTGCCAAGGAATTAATTATCCATAAGCGAATAAGAGTCCTCACTAATCAAAAATCCAACCAATTAATTGAAGAACCCATGCGTGTACTCTGGCCATGCAAAATTATGAGTCACATCCTTATATATTTGATTCGCCACTTCACCAATGCCAAGTCATCATTGGGCATAATATCAAAAAGGGCTTAATCTGCAAAATTAACACAAATTCCAAATATTGGTGTATGTCCGTTCACAAAATAAATTACGTGAGAAACTTGTATAATACACTAAAATCAAATACTCAAATATATAAATTAACTCACAAAATAACACAAGATTTCTCACGTATCAAGTGGTAATGACAGCTCAATTTTATTGAGCTGAGAAAGTTCCTAGCCGTTGTACTATTAATCCTGGTTTCTAGAAGAAATTTATTAAGGGAAATTTTTAAATTTGCAACTTGCCATGAATTAAACAGTGCCTTTTCTGTTGGGATCAACTGTCTGAGCCAATCAACTCTTCGCTAATTAATCTAAATTCATTAAGTCAGCTATTAGATAGACCTAATGGTTAGACATATATATTTTTTATTAGTTTTAAAAAGTATGACTGGTACTCGACAAGTCTAATCGTTACAGTCTCACACAAGAATTTTGATATCCAAATTATGTCTACGCAGTGTTTTAGGATCTGAATTAACTTTTCACATGTTAGATCAAACATATAAGTCATAGTTTGATTTTATTGAGCCATTTATTATTTCCCATTCGGATGAAAAAGGTGTGAGATTCCTTACATTTAATGAAACCCACCTGAAAAGTTGGAACCTTTACACATCAAACTGAATTAATTAACACCTTCAAGTGGATATATATATATATATAGGGTTGAGTTCACATTAGAATGGTGCTCAGTGAAAGAAATGAGAATAAATCACAACCATTAGATCGGATGATCTACTGGCAGAAAAAAAGTCAAAATTATTCCATCATTAAAGGTATTATGAACATTTACTCAGTCCAACTATACACCACATTAATGGGCCCACTTCAATTAAACCGTCCACTAACCCAAACCCGCGGTCAACCACGTCACAATCCCTCTCTCTCACACAATCAATCTATCTCACACACAGTCTGACTCTCTCTCACACACTCACATTACATACACAGTAAGTACACACCTAGTCACGCCCGCGACACACACATTACACATACTCGCCGGCGGAACACACACACACTCGCCGGTGAAACCTGCAGCCATCTCACGCTGCCGTCGTCGTCACGACGCTTCTGCAAATTTCGATCGTTTCGACCTCTGCCCGCCACTGCCAACAGATTCCGTCCACGAAGTCCACCACTCGCCGCCAAACGAAGAAGGCACTAATTGATCTCCAGCAGCAACGTGCGTTGGCCTCGACGTCTTTGAGCAGCCGCGTCTCTGGTTTTTTTCGAGGTGTCCAATTCCCCAGGACGTCGAATCAGTCGCCGGCGTTGAGGAATGGCGGCAAACCGTCGAAATCCATTGTCGTTTTGCGGCTGGGAGGGAGCAGTTGCCGGTTCCGGCATAAGAGACGGACTGAAAACGGTTTTGGAGATGGGAGCATTATTCTGGAAATTTGATAAATCCCATGGACGGATTTACAATTTTAGAAGTTTATATAATCACACATAAACCTCTGAGTCAATCTGTAATTTCAAAAAGGTTTAACTATATTATTTAACCCATTGGTCAAATATGTAATTTACAGAAAATATATAAAAACATATTATTTTGTATATGTTTTTATACATATTTAGTTTATGTATTTTAAACCAAAAAAATATAAAGTATTAAATAAATATATTAAAATATATTTTATATTTTTATAATATAATTAATAAATTAATTTAACCAACCAAAAAACCAAATTATTTCAATACACATAAAAAAATATCACAATGCATAATACATCTATATAAGTATTATTTATTTTCAACAAACAATGATATACAATAGAAAATAAAAATTATAATAATAAATATATTTTTATTATATAAGTAATTTGACAAATGTGAATTAATGTTGATTGAAATACACAATATTAAAGCTTTAAAATTGAAAATCCACATAAAATAACCGATCAATAGACTGCACAATAACATGAAAAGGAATGCACACAATTGTTAATAACATGAAAAGGAATGCACACAATTGTGAGATGGGTTGCACATTAGTGAACGTCAGATTTCACGTTATCGATCCGAAATATAAAGTTCAAATCGAACTATATAAATTATTATTATTATTATTATTATTATTATTATTAAAATACTAAATATATTTTTTTAATATAAATAATAAATTACTTTGATTATTTAAATAATTCACTCAATTGACTGGATAAACAAAGTAATTCGATTCGATTTCAATTTAATTGAGACAATAAAATAATAATAAAAAAAATCAAACGGTTCAATAGTCAATGACTATCTGATTGCACAACATCGACCAAAATAACCGAGCGACTGAAATACATAGAGATATTATTGCTTTTTATTGTTATTATATTTTTATGCATTGCGATCTAGTATAAGTAAGAGAAATAGATCAAGATTTCACAATAAAATTAGACGGATTGAACTTTGATGATTATCTGATTGCACAATATTAACCAAACTCGACCGAACTAAATTTTTTGTTTGGTTCATTTTTTTTTTATATATATTTTGGTGATTGCAAAATATCGAAACATAAATTCTCTTCGAAATTTTATATCTCGGTTCGATATACTTTATTTACACTAAAAAACTCGATTAACTTGGTTGGATGTCAACTATTTTATTTTGTTTGTAATCGAAATAACCAAACGAACAAACTGTATAAGAATATTATTATTGTTACTATTATTATATTTTTATGCTATGAAATTGCACAATTACGTTAAATGAAATGCACTTTAATGACTAATTGATTGCACAATATAGACCAAACTCAACGAAGTTAAATTTTCCAGTAGATGTTTGATG